CGTAGAGAGAGAGAGAGAGAGAGAGAGAGTGAGGGAAACGGTGAGCGATGGATATATAGAAACAAAGGAAGTGCTTTTCAGGAAGGGAAGGAATCAAAATCTCTTTTGGGTCATCACCATTCGAAATTTTTCGAACGTTGGGAATGGACGGCCGTCGTGGGCCTATCCCAACGGCTAGTAGCATTAAAAGCCCTCCTGTGACACTGATAGGTTTCCTCAAGTCTAGGGCCTCTTGAAGGGAAAATGGCTGAAAACCTTCTAAAATATACATTTTAGACACTCTACCCCCATTTTAAATTTTTGTCATTTTTTTTTCTCAAAAACCATCTTTTCTAACTAATACCCCCAACTAAAAAAGTGATATCTTTTTTAAAGAAAATACTCCTCCCCGTACCTTCACTGTATGAACAAATTGTTTGGATGGGCCCCAATAATGCTTTTGTCGGACCGCGGTTGTTATTTGCCAGACTTACGACATATGCCGGACTGCATTTCTACAATATCGGATTGCTTATTTAGACAGTGATACACCGGACCGTAGACTACTAATGCCGAACCATCCTACTCATGTATCCAAAACACCGGACCGAGACCATGAAATGCCGAACTTACGTCTCCAGTAGTAAAATCATCGGAGCGAAGTTCTGTAATGCCAGACCGCGAGTATTGCCAGACTGCAGCCTCCCAGTACCGGATAGATCGACCATAACGTCGAAGTGATGTTGTGAAATGCCGGACTTAACATCATTCCAGAAACACGTGCCGGACCGCACATTGCAAAACATATCATCGGACCGCACACATACACTGTCGGACAACTACATCAAATGCCGGAGTGAGTTTATTATTTATGCAAAACTTCAGACCGCGCCCACAAAATGCCGGATTGCCTACGCAAACGTTGAATCGAATGTCGCAAAATGTCGGAACGCCGGATTGCCTACGCTAATGCCCTTTTTAACGTAGAAGTGAAAAAGAGGGAGTAATTTTGTCTTTATTTCTATTTTTTTTAGGTTGGGGGTATTAGTTAGAAAAGATGGTTTTTTGAAAAAAAGAAGTGAAGAAAGTTTACGGTGGGGGTAGTGTCTGGAAAGTATATTTCAGGAGGTTTTCAGTAATTTCTCTTCGTTGAAATTGAAGGACAACAACGTGGTTATGAGTAAATCATGAGATAATATACTATAATACTATCCAAAAGATATTCTACTCATGCGAAAATAGAACTCTCGTTTACTCCCTCGGGGAAATCCCCACCTAGAATAAATTTTAAGAACCAATATTTGGGGATGTAACATTTTCATCCCTTAAATTGATCTCAATTAAAAAAAAAAAAAAAAAATCCTAATTGTACCCTCTGTTGAGATGGTGAGATCTATACGTTAGAAAACTCAAATTTTAATTTTTTTTTTTTTGGAGAATAATCATCTAAGAACTCTAAGTAGTTTCCAAAATTTCAGATTTAAAAAATCCTCCCCACTAGGTCTTTGGACCGAGGGAGTACAAGTAAAGCATGCTCTCGAGGAAGTATAGTATATGAGCTCATAATACTATCATTTTTCTTCCAAGGGGTCAAAATACTTATAATTGAAATTGGACACTTAGCTGTTTATTATTTCTTTAAAAAAGAAAAAAAAACCGTACTACTGCCTACCAGATTACACATTTTACAGTTAAAGATGATTAAATTGACCATAAATAATCTCTTCTATATGGTAATGAAGACTTTATGGCGTAGGCCCGAGTTTGAATGAGTGGGTCCCACAGACCATCCAATGATTTGTAGAGCACTAGTGTCCTATCATCACACTTTAGCCCCTTGGATGCGTGGTTCTCATTGTGACCATGGGGATAATATGTTAGAATGAAAATTCAATGAAATTAGAAGGGTATGCTTTGAAATAGAGGGAGAAAAATTAAGAATGCACTTATGTGGAAATTAGAACTATTGACTAATGGAAAAGCTTTATATAGGGCCAAGGCTCTAATCAATCAAATTAGAGCCCACTTCAAAAATTTCAGGTCATTTTGATGCTTAAATATCTTCAAATTGATCATCTTGATATATAAAGATAAGAAAAAAATAGATTTCAAATTTTGGAAATAGTGCATCTTATAGCGAATTTTTGGACTGTCAATTTTTAAGATTTTCAAGTTTTCATAGATCTGTTCAATCTACACTATTTTTTAAGCTTTAAATTTTATAATTAAATATAAAAATGTATTTTCAGGCAAGCACAAAGATTTCCAGTATTGCAACCACATTTCTCAATATTATTTGAAAGTGTGCTTTATTTTGATTGTTTAGAGCCTTGGCTCTATACAAACCGCACCCCTGACTAATACATCCCTCCAGCTTAGCAAAAGTGCTCTTTATATTTTGTAGGGAAATGCTTTTGTATCACTGCGGTTGCATGCATCCCGTGGTACATCCTCGATCGCGGCAAAACCTCACCATTTTTTGAACCTATAGGACCGTATAAGCAATGTCAACAAAAAGTTCAGGCAACATACGCAAGAGAAAGCCTATCCCCAAAGCTTTTCCCTCTCTTTGACATTTTCTACATTTTTCATTATTAATAAAGAGAAAATATGGGATTAGCCCAGTAACTTATATGAATATATGAATCCAACGGTTCAGATTGAATTTGAATCGATCTGACGATCACAGATATCTAGTTGTGTTTAAATTTTATTTATTTTTCTACAAATCCAAATCATATGAAATTTTAGGCATCAAGATGCACCTAATAAAAAATATAAAAAAAATTATCCGTGAAAAACAAAATGATCAAAATACCTCCGAAATATTTCAAGGGTATTTTGGTCAATGTTTTCATGTAAAATATTTTTTTGATGTTTTTTAAAGATTCAACTCTTTTTGATGAACACATGCCTAAAATTTCAAGTGATTTAGATTTGTAAAAAAAAAACTAAAATTCAAATACTATCGGACATCCGTGATCATTAGATCGGTCTAAATTCAATCTCGGACGTTGGGCTCATATATTCATATGAGCTAGTGGGCTAATCCCATCTTTTTCCATTAATAAATAATCTCATGTTTTTTGGAAAATTTATGTAAGAATCTTATTTGTCTGGGGAATTATGCTTTTTATTTTATTTTATGACTCAAAGTCCTTTTATCATCGTATTTTTATTTTTTCCAACACCATTTTTTCTTTCTAGCATAGAATGGATTTTGACCTAACCAATTTTCCTAAATAAAAACATAGGTTTGACACTTAAAATAAAGTAAAGATCATGTTTATATAAGTTGTCCACCTTATACTATTGAAGTAAGGTGCACTTTGAAACATGAAGAGAGTGTTCGCATGTTGGAAAATCCTCCCATTTGATCACCTTGACCTCATGATGTATGGTTATGAAAAAAAAAAGAATTTCAAGTCACAACTTATCTTGATTGTCTTTTTTCAAGATTTTAAGCATTTATATATCTGCTCGATCTATACTACTTTTCAAATTTTTAAATTCATATCTAAAGATGAAAATAAATTTTTAAGCTATCATAAGGTTCAGGACACTGGAATTACATCTCTAGGCAAATCTTAAAGCTGCACCTTACTGGGAATTACATCTCTAGGCAAATCTTAGAGCTGCACCTTACTTCCACAGAATAAGTAGTCCTATACCAACGTCACCCTTAGGTGATAATTGGGTTCCAACATTTCAAAAATGGAACCCAATTTTTTTAAGTAAACTGCATGTACACTATGCTCCCAATGGGAGCATAATGTGCATTTGCTCCCTAGGAAAAAAATAACGACATGATCTTTTTGGGACCAGAGATCTTGGGAGCCACCTCTGATGATTATTTTATAAAAGATGAAAACTATATTTTGAGTTTTTAAACGTTTAGATTTGATCATCCAAAAATTGGATGGACTTTGTACAATTTTAAGACATTATTTTTCAAGTCGCATATAGTGCTTGAAACAATTCTTTTTTAGCTTGATCACTAAGTTTTGAGATAACATTCCAAAATTTGAGGGCCTAAAAAAGTGCCTAGATTGGGTTGTAGTAGAGGGAGCAAAAATGGACAATACTTCTTCCTTAAGTAAACATCAACCCCACTATTTATCCAAAACAAAACAAAAAACATCAAAAGAGAGAGATGACATTATGAGACCCTCCCACACTCATGAGAGTAGGACATCAAAAGATCACCATCAATTTTGGCACATTTGACACATATCTCTAGAAAAAAGTTATCACATGGATGTAGGACTTGACTTTTCTAGATATCTGTGCCAAATTTGATGGTGATCATTTGAGGTCTTATTCACATGGGTGTGGGAAGGTCTCATAAGATCATTACTCGTATATATATAAAATTAGGGGATTGTAAAGTAGATTCTAAAGTTTCATATCCAAAAATTAATCGGAAGTAGCTCTTTTGCCTGAGGAAGCAAGTGTGTAGTATGCTCCTACGCGTTCTTAAAAGTGG